CGTGTGCGACCCCGGCGCGTACGTCCCGTAGTTGGAGCCAGGCCCTCCTCCTACGCCGCCCACGCCCACCGGGCCGCCCTGGACCGCGGTGGGCGTGGCGGCGCTGCTGGTGACCACGTGCGCCCCGCCGTTGTGGTGGGCGCCGGCGGTGGGCGTGGCGCGGCGGAGCTCCGAGTAGGAGGACGAGACGGGCGAGGGCGGCGAGGGGGGCGGCGGGCCCTCGTCGGGCGGCGGCAGCGGGAAGTCCTCGTCGGGGCCGAAGGTGGCGTACTGGGACAGGCCTGGGGGGGAGGGGCGAGATAACATCAGCATTGATAGTAATTAAAATATCAACATATAAGAAAACAGCAACAGTAATAGTAGTGGTAGGCACAGTAGAATAATAGTAGTAGAAATAGGAAGCAATGCAAATAATATGAAAATAATATGAAAGTAGCATAACAGACTATACACAAGCAGTAATAATATCGATAACACTGACAATGTAAAATAATAATGATGAGGACAAACGTCATATCTGTCACCAGCAAGACGACTCTAATAATATACATGTGTGCATATGTGTGGTTATCTGTATGGATGTGCGTTTGCATTTGCGCCGTCACCAACTTTAAATTCAACAACAACAGTGATGAATCAGACAATCAGCGTGACACAAAAAATATTACATATTATTAAAAAAAATATAATATTACATTCTATGTTAGCTTAGCCAAAACAAACACAATCATTCATGGTACCAGGTGCCGTAGTAAATAAGAGAGCGAGCGTGGATGACTGCATGACACAGAGAGAGCGATTGAGAGAATGAAAAAAGAGAGAAGAAAGAGAGACGAGGGGAGAAAGTAGAGAGAAAGGGAGAAGGAGAGGGAAAAGGAAAGGGAGAGGGAGAGGGAAAAGGAAAGGGAAAGGGAGAGGGAGGGAGGGAGGGAGGGAGGGAGGGAGGGAGAGAGAGAGAAAGGGAGAGAGAGAGAAAGAGAGAGAGAGAGAAAGAGAGAGAGAGAGTGAGAGAGAGAGAGAGAGAGAGAGAGAGAGAGAGAGAGAGAGAGAGAGAGAGAGAGAGAGAGAGAGAGAGAGAGGGATTCCCAAGCATCATCCTCAACGTCCGAACTTTGCTCTCGAACTCCCCCTCCCCCCCTCCCCCCCCCCCCCCCTCCCCAATGTGGCCTGATTCTAATGAGTTCAACAACCCTCGCTTATCCTCCTCATCCTCCTCTTTCCCCTCCCCCCCTCTCTAATATTCGTTCCTCTTTCCCCCCCCCCTCCCCCTCCTCCTCCTCCTCCTCCTCCTCCTCTTCCTTCTCCTCATGCTGTGCCCTCTTTTATTGCTATTTTCTTTCTATTTCCATTCTTCTTCCCTCTTTGTCCCATTCTTCCTTTTCTTATTCCTTCCCTCTTCCCCTTCCTTTCCTTCTTTTTCCTTCTCACTTCCTCCCCCTTTCATCCTTCTCTTCTTCTTCCTCTAGTATAATAGAGAGAATGTAAGAAAGAAGAGAAAGAAAGAAAAAAATAGAAAAAAGGAGGATAAGTATAATATAATTAACCCAAGAAAAAATATAATAATAATAATAATAATAATAATAATAATAATAATAATAAATGAAGAAAATAATTTGTAAAAAAAAAAAAAAAAAAAATCAGGTGAAATTTTAAAGATATGAGAATAAAACGAGAGAAGAGAAAGAGACTGAAAGACAAATAATAAGAGGACACGAAACGAAGATGGAGTAAAAAAAAGAAAGAAAAAAAGGAACAGAAAAGAAAAATGAATAACGTAAAAAAGAAGTAAGGAAGCGAGCAAAGCAACACCGTGATAATGAGGAAAATTAGCTACTACAGACATAATTACTACAATAATCCCAACAATAGTGACGCAAAATAATAACTATTGCAATCACAGCTGATGATTATAATGACGTAACTATCAATAATAATAATAATAATAATACTAATTAATAATAATAAAAAATAATAATATTGAAATAATAAAATAATGGCTATCGAAAAACGAATAACAATAATAGTAATAGTATTAGCAATAGCAATAACATCAGCAACAATAACAATAGCAAAAAAGTACGAATGGTAGTTGCAATAAAGCCCAAAAAAATCACCAATAAAAACAAATTCAAAGCAATAAAATGTTTACGAGACTTTAATATAAATATTGATTAAAGAACAACATAATAAAAACAATAATAATAATAATTACAACAATAATTATTATAATCATAACAATAATAATAACAATAATAATAATAACAACAATAAAACAACAATACCAATATCAACAACAATAACGAAAGAAACAAAAAAAAAGACGAAGACCAAATAATCCGCAAAGAAAGAGAGACAGAAAATGACAAAAGCGAAGCGCGGGAGCGAGGAAAACGCTCAAGCATCGGACACACGGATCCGGCCCGTCCGCGTGGCTGTCCCCGGCGATAAGGGCGAAATCCCTGCTGGTTTACGACGCCCGGAGCACCCTTAATCGAGGACGCGACTCTGAGCCTGCGCCAAATATCTTTTAAGAGTGATGGCGTAAACAAGGAGGCGAGCGAGGGAGATAAAGAGAGAGAAATGAGGGAGGGGGATGAGGGGGAATGAGAGCGAGACCGAGAGGAAGAGAAGGAAGTAGAGAGAAAGAGAGAGAGTGGGAAACGGGGGAGAGGAGGGGAACTGGGAGAGGGAGAGAGGGAGGAGAGGGAGAGAAGGAGGGAGGGAGGGAGAGAAGGGAGGGAGGGAGGGAGAGAGAGAGAAGGGGGGAGAGGGAGGAGAAGGGGGGAGAGAGAGAGAAGGGGGGGAGGGAGGGAGGGAGGGAGGGAGGGAGGGAGGGAGGGAGAGAGAGAGAGAGAGAGAGAGAGAGAGAGAGAGAGAGAGAGAGAGAGAGAGAGAGAGAGAGAGGAGAGAGAGAGAGAGAGAGAGAGAGAGAGAGAGAGAGGTGTCTTAAGCCGTGCCAAAACCCCCACGTGTGACGGACTCCACACCTACACTCGCCTATAAGCATAAATTGGCGCCGTCTGACGAGAGGAAGACAACGAGACACGCAGGCAGGGGGCAGGGCTCACGCGGAGGCACGAACACGTACGTACGTAAGTACACGTACACGTACTCACACACACACACACACACACACACACACACACACACACACACACACACACACACACACACACTTCTACAAACATACATACATACATAACCAAATGAAGCATACAAGTGAATACATACACACAATGTACAAGAAACGCAATAAAATTAACCAGCAATTAAAAATCTAACAGATTAAAATAATGAACTTAATAATTAAAAGGCACTTGTCCTGGTTATGCAACGCCGGTGTAATTACTCCCCTTGCCACGACGATTAGCGAACGATTAACGAAAGTGGAACGGCAGTTTTGGTTACGGCCTGTTGTAGTGTGTATTTAAAAGATGTATAATATTAGTGATCAAAATCAATAAAAAAAATAAGTAAAAAAATAGAAACAAAATAACCTCCTTCGTTACTATAATCAATGCAATGGCTACTATTGATATTGTTTGTGCGTCGTAATATAATCTTTATAAAAAAAATATATACAAAATATACTAAAACAAATGATTGAAGAACCACACCAAACAAACATACATAAAAATAGTGAAAGTTACCGAAAAAGTCAAACCCACGTTTTAATATCCTCCAACTATTCCTTCAAGTGCCACTGTATCCCCCCTCCCCCTCACTCCCTCCTCTCCCTCACACCTCCTCCCATCCTCCACTGTATCCACTCCTCCAGCCTCTTCCTTCCCCTACCCCCCCCTCCCTATGCTTCCTTATACCCATCGCCCTCCCCCCCCCACTCTCCCGCCACGCGTGCCAGATTTTGGCAACCGCGCGCGCGTCTCGGCGGTCAGGCCTACCCACTCGCCGTATACCGGAGTCTGGCGGGGCGGGTATTCGGCTATGCGGCTAATGTGGCAACGATGTCTCCTGTTATCCGGCGCGGCTGTGGATGCTTTGTCATGCGGTTAATTTCTATTTTTGTGGCGACTCGGTTTCCTCTTTTCGGTTTTGATAAGTGGCGCGGCGGCCCAGGGCATCGAGGGCGGAGTGTGGCGGCGGGGATGAGGGTGCGGATGATGATGATGGTGATGATAATGATAATGGTAATAATGCAATCATCATTCACATTGTCATCACCATTATCATCATCACTATCATTATTAGTATTAGTTTCATTATCATCATATTTGCTATTACTACAATGTCTGCGTTTGCAAAAATGATATCAACAATAACAATCTTGATTATGATAATAATAAAAGCAATAATAATAATAATAACTGATATCAACAACCACAATAATAACAATAATATAATAATTGTAGCATTAATAAAGCAACAACAGCAACAACAAAGCACAAGAGAACAATAAGACGAATAACACTTCCGTCAGTTGAATCGCCCACTTCCTCCTCCTCCTCCTCCTCCTCCTCCAGGGAAGCTAGGTTCCATCCCTTTCTTCTTCTTCTTCTCCTACTCCTCGTCCACTTCCACCACCTCGCGCACCTCTTTTCCCTCCGCCTACCTCCGTTTCCATTACCCTTCTACATCCACCTCTTCCTCCGTGCACCCTCCGCCTCCATCCTACTATCTCCACCACTTCCTCCTCCCCCACCTCCACCTCTCCCTTCTCCATTTACTCCACCTCCTCCACATCCCTTGCGAGCGCCGACGACAGCGCGCAAGCACGCAAGACAGCCGCAAGAACTTCGGAGGCGGGCAGAGGGCCAGCTACTTCCTTGTCTCGCTTACTTCCTCACTTCCTCTATCTCGCTCTCTCGCTCTCTCGCCCTCTCGCTCTCTCTCTCTCTCGCTCTCTCTCGCTCTCTCTCTCTCTCTCTCTCTCTCTCTCTCTCTCTCTCTCTCTCTCTCTCTCTCTCTCTCTCTCTCTCTCTCTCTCTCTCTCTCTCTCTCTCGCTCTCTCACTCTCTCGTTTTCTCTATTCCTATTTCCTCCTTAACCCATTGCCTCCGGGGATGGCATGTACATACACGCCATGCCCACTGTGAGTCGACTTGTTTGATTGTTTTTACACATAGAAGGCTACACTTGTACTAAGTATCCAATGAGCCAATTACGAGAACTGCCTGTCTCGCCCGTTCACCCTTTTCATCGATTTACGAAAATATTTAACGTTATCCTAATTTGCTGTTAAAAATAACACCATCTATATTTATAGCACTAGTAAGAATGCGTTTTTCCCGCTAATTCAAGGAAAGGTGAAATCAGGACTAGC